GGAGAGGAAAAACATTATCTTAACAAACATTACACAGAGGTCACCTATGTATGAGGAGAGGAATTAAAATACGCTTAATACATTTTCCTAACTTCCCTAAAAAAAGGACCAAATTTTTAACAAGAGCCGTCAGAGAACAGCATAGCTCACCTATGTATGTGATTATAATACTGCAACTATCAATAGAAACACATGTATAGTAAAACGTTGATTTAGTGCCTGTCATTTTATTTGCCACCTCACTTACCACCAGGATATTTCAAGGATCGTTAAATGTGTAGGAACATCTATGTGAAGTGATTGTTAAGAAATTAACAAAGTCCAATAAAGCTGTTTTTGGACGCTAAAATATGAAAATATGGTTCAACACTTTGCTTACACTCAATACAAATACTTCAACCTTATAATAGACAACAGCCTATTGATGGTGGTGGTCCAACACTACCCAACAAAACTTGCGAAAAAACTTTAACCTCAAATTTAACGAAGTCCAATTAAGCTGTTTTCTGGCCATAAAATATGAAAACATTGCTAACACTCCATATAAATGCTTCAACCTTGTAATAGACAACAGCCTTTTGATGGTGGTTGTCCAACACTTCACATAAAAACTTGCCTAAAAACTTTAACCTCAAATATAACTAAGTCCAATTAAGTTGTTTTTGGGCCATAAAATATGAAAAAATGGTCCAGCACATTGCTTTCACTCGATATAAATGACTTAAACTCATAATAGACAACTGTGTATTGCGTGTGATGATCCAACACTGTCTGGAAAAAACTTGCACTAAAACTTTAACCTCGGAAGGATTCAAAGGAAGAATATACACTAAATACACTTTACAGAGAATCTAAATGCACTTGGTCCTAACACAATTCAGTATGAAGTCAAGTACACAACTTTGATCAAGAACAGTAAAAGTTGGTATTCCTCCATTTACACATTTTCTCTTTTTCACGTTAAAAGATTACATGAAACAGAAAATTGCTTCTGCATATTTTATCCTAACAAACAACATCCTGGCAATTGAAAGTTATATGCTACCTTGCTTTTATAACCTGTATTTTAAAAGTTACCTCCCTTATAAGGCATGTAATAAGCCTTATCTAAGCAATCAGAATTGACATATTATTAATGCCTACCATCTGTGACTTTAATCTGACATCAGGTAAATAACATTGTTCAATGTAACCCTCTACAAAACATTATTTTACTAGTCTGTTAATTTGTGACTCTTTAGAGAAAAACAATTGAAATCACAGTAAGGTAACGCAACATACATCCTTAACTCCAAAATCAAACATCCAACATAAAACCCCAACAATGCCAAAGCCGTTAAACATTCTGGAGCCTACAAGTACATGGGGCTGTCTGAGAATAAGATCTTTTTTCTCAATCAAGTTTATCTTTTTGATAACGTTAACTGAAAGCATAAACACAAAGTTGTATATACCTCATCCCCTATATAGTCATGCAGCATCCTAATGACAGATGCTCCCTTGCTGTAGGAAATGGCATCAAATATCTCATCTACTTCATCTGGATGACCAACAGCTACCTGTAAGTACAAGGTCATACAGTCATGTAGTCATATAATAAAAGAACTGTTCTCATTAAGTATATGGGAAGATGAAGCACTTTTTTGAAATTCATTCATCAACCAAATTAAGTTAATTGCAATTGTAAGCAGAGTGTGTGTTATGCAGATTGCCTTCAATATTGAATATCAAGTTGGGTTAGCAAGACCATCAAGATATAAACATGGTTCAGTCACTTATTTAACATAAAGAACTAGGGGTGTTAGGGGTCATTTCCATCCTTACTGGGGATAAATAGAAAGTTATTGAAATCA